AGAGAGAGAGAGAGAGAGGGAGAGGGGATCATGGACCGAAAAAAAGAGGATCTATAAAGTTGTGTACAAATATGAGCTCATGATAGTTGAGTAAAAATATAGTCCAGACCTCACCTTTTGAGTGTCATCAAGAACTGCCTTGAGAAATGCGACATCATGCTCAAGCCGTACATTGTCCGAGTGAACAATGTTTGAGAGGCTGTTTGCTTCTTCTTGTGCCAATTCAGCAGCTGCTAACTTCTCGCTAAGCACCTCCATCTCCTTTAATGATTCACTCAACTTTTTCTCAATATCTTGTCGACTCTTTAGAACAGCTGACAAGTTCTTCGCAATGGCTTCTCTGCCTGCCAATGCAGCAGAGAGTTGCCCCTCAAGCACGCCATTCTTTTTCTGCAAAGCAGCAACCTTGATTTCATACTCTTGGTGGGAATTTGCAGGCGCAATCACTTTACCATCTATATCCAAGATATTCGAAGAATCACCATTATCTGACTGTAAATTTCCAGTGATTTTCAGGTTTCTGGGATTCTCAGGTTCTAATATTCCAAGCATCTCAGCTTCAGAATTAGAGGCAGCTCTAGCAATGTCCACCTGAACCCCCTGGTCCAAGGATTTGTTTTTCTGTTAAATAGAATAATAATTTATTAGAAAATACAACATGTGAAAAAACTAGATAAGTCAATAGTCAATGACCCATGCATAATAATAGTAGATAAAAAGTTTGCAATCATATTGCTCCATACTCATCCAGTTTGTGTGTGTGTCATTGTCATAGAAAAGAAATGGCAAAAGATGCTCTGATTAAAATTATGAACATAGATTGCTGACATCCATTGCCTCTAGGAAATGTGTCGATGAGATTAGACAAACAAACAATGAGCTTTCAAGATAAATACTTGATATCTAGAATGATCTACTCATCGTAACATATTGAAAGTCCGCTAGTTTGGTTGTCATTTAAGAATGATGATGGTAAGGCAATTTTTCATCTTTGAGCCTTCTTGGTGTGCAGAATTATGGTCCATGACAACAAAAAACCATTAAAAAGCACACTATGATCATTTACCTGAGAGAGGGTTGCAGTTCGTGTTATCAGATCATCCGGTTCCCCATAGACCGTGTCAGTGTGATTCCTCTGAATTTGCAACACCGAGTTGTGATCTTCCTCATGATGTTGCTTCCGGAGAGAGACATTACCGGATACTGTATCTATATTTGTGGAATTTGATTCTGACTGAGATCTACGACCAGAAAAATGGTGCTCCAATATCGACAAAAAATTTGGTTTAGCAGCAGTGGCAGCAGCAAGGGAAGGAGCACTGGCATTATGTGGATTGGTCAACTCTGAAAAAATAGTTGAACATTCTGCTATTTGTGGCGGATCTTTTTCAGGAGCTGAATACTGGCATGTAGACTGCTCATTGTGTGCAATAAGTAAACTCTCAACCTGTGAAAACCCTCCACAGTAAGAGCTACATCCAAGTTGGGGTATAGCTACATATTTAAAAGAATATTTCCTTTAATTGGATGATTTGCAAATTACAAGTAGTGTCCGTATACCACAATTTAGTGGACTCTAATATGCCTGATTCTCAAGGACATTCACTGCCTGTTCCTGCTAATGCATAGTGGAGATTAACAGCAGTGTGACAGCAAGAATTTCACCCAGCTACAATTTATCTCATCTGGTTGTCATTGGGAACAGACAGCAGATGCCCCTTTTGAAAAACTTATCCATTAGATTATGGTACACTTTCCCTGATTTTGATGCTCACATTGCTGTAAAAAACTCAAAATACAAAAGCAAAACAAGGAACCGATTTTGTTTCCCAGCAACCTGATTCGATGGTTCCTTCTTGCTGCCACCAAATGCAACAAGGAAGACATCTTCCCTCTGCCGCACTAGTACCATACTAAACCCCTGTCAATAAAACTCTTCAAATCAACAACTTCCTTTAGTTTAATTACTTATAAGAATTCAGTGATAAAAATCTTCAAATCAACAACTTCCTTTAGTTTAACTATGCACAAGAATTCAGTGGTACACAAATAACTAAAATACAATTAACTAATACTGATAGTCATGGTATGACCTTTTTCTATATTTAATGAAACATATTAATTAGCACACGTGGACATTTGCTCCAATTATGAACCACTTTAGAACAGGGGTTCAGTAGTAGGCCCACAATGAAATGCAGGACATACTCAAAATGAATTTGTGTAATTTCACATGCTTAAGTTCATGTTATCAAATTTAAGTAAAACACAAATATAGGAAAATTAGTAGAAGGTAGACAGATTGACAGGTTTTCTACCCACAAAGCATAAAAAACTGAGTAGCATTGTTCATTGAACTGTGTATTGGAACTTAAAGAAGAACACTTAGATCCTCAACACAGTATGAAGACCTTTTCTTGCAGATCAAAAACTCCAAATTCCGACACGTATGTTGGTTCCTCATAACATAACATGGGTGATACCATAATTAATAGAACTATCCTAATGCAAGTAGCAAGACCACAAATGATCTAAAAGATAACAATTGGAATTACCAAGAATATCCAAGCCCTGTGACAGTAGTGTAGGAAAAAACAATTATGAACACAGTATAACAATTATCATTCACATTTTACAAGCCTGGACTAATGACCTGGACCCAGAACGTTCTTACTGTAACAACTGGTGGGTGCTACCTCACTTTGTTAGTAGTTATGGAAGAAGAAGTTGATACAACAGCCAGGGACCACTCATGTTTCAAAACATCATAGACCAATGTCTCATTGTGTCCTGCAAATACAAGAATGCATGTACTACATGATTAAAGAATATTGAAAGCATAACAATTCCAAATCACTATTAAATACCAAGCAAGATACATGAATGTATGCACTACATGATTAAAGAACATTGAAAGCATAACACTTCTAAATCATTATTAAATACCAAGCAAGATATTCTGTGTTGCATAACACAATTAATAAACTAGATTTCTATATTTTCTCAGGCACAAAAATATTTCTAAAAAATGAAGTATTTAATTTGAGAACCTGACCTATGATCAATTATCCACACACACATCACAGCCTTTCTTTTTACATGTCCGTACAACGTGCAAAAATGAAACTCTTATCTGAAACAACAATCCCATGGATCATGCATACTCATATTAATCATTGCAATCAAGTTTCTTGTTCTTTGACATGAAATTATATCACATGACCAATGAACAGCATAACTAAAAGTGCAAGCATAGTACACAATAATCCAAAACTAACCCATCTAGAAAAGAATTGGTTTAACAAGTATTAAATCAACTGAAACTATAAATTACAATATAACAATAAAAAACAAGATACTCATTCTAAATACAAGAGAGATTTCCTTGAATCAACATCTGTGGCAAACTTCTGAAGCAAATATACAATTTTAATGAAGACACAAAAATATAAAAATGGCAAATAAATCCATTTCTTAATTTCTAAATAAGATTTCCAGCATTGGAAAACTGAAACAGCAATTGTAACCTAGCATTTGTAAAGGGCTTTAAAAAGTTAAACTACAGTGCTGCTCATAATAATGACCAATACATACTCTTCTTCCTGCTTTCACCTCCTGTGATATACCACTTAGCACCACATAATATTCCACAGCAACCTGATCTAGGAGATGGATTCAAGCCACGAGTTTTAATTCGTGACCAAATCATCTGCATAAAGAAAAAGTCCACAATTAAAAAACTTGACATAAAATACCATCAAGCATCTAAACAAATGGAACAGACAGAATAAGTCCCAAACCAAACAGGCTGAAGGAGAAGCTCAAAATGACTACATACTGTTTCAAAGTCCAGCAAATATAAGTCATTCAGAACCCTAGATTTTGATGTCCCTCCAAATACAAGTAGTAGTTTATCTTCATATAGAGCAGCGACATGGTTGGATCTAGGAGATGGCTTTGTCCCTCTGTACATGTAAAACAGTGATCCTAGAATAAGTATGTTGAACAACTTCAGTATCATTACTCCACCCTGCAAATCCAAACTGTTAACTATGGAAAATTCATCAAACAAGGTATGTACACTAGACATGTGACCTGCAAAGAACCTGACCATTTTCATTTCCGTAAGAGAAACAAAGCTAGTATTGCCAAAATAGCGGATCAAACTCAGAAGTAAGATTCATCATACTACTATTGTATTACTTGGCAGAAAGCTACAGTGAAAAGTCTACTTACGTATACTGAAGAGGAAGCCACATTTGAGACTTGAGATCAAACATATTAAGATCATTTAGTTTTCTGCCTTTAGCATCTTCACCACCGAACATGATCAAGACTGAACCTGCTCTGGTCACAGTGTGAGCACTACGGGCAACCTATATCACAAATTCAAGTTAAAAAAGTCAACGTTTATTAGGGAAAAAGACATAACTTCGCTTCCACAAACCAGGATAGCACGCACTGTAGAGAAGTACAACTATATGACCAGTGATAAGACATGAAGGTACTGATAATGGCAAGGTTTTGGCAACAAGTTATATTCTGAACCAACATCAGGACAGGAAACAAAAGAGTGAAGTTCAATGGTAGCTCTTTTACTTTATACTAAAAATTTAATATGAGACTAACCCTGAGTATAACACACATCTAAACAAGAGATTGATAAGATAAGACACTAATTGCAGTATATTCTCTTTTCTAGTGAGTCTCTTTCGTGTATCTGTTACAGGTAGAAATTAAATGTGGAGAGCAGCAGGCCCACGTAACTCCATTGTGTGCACAGGTGAAGCCCACAATAAACAACAAACTAGACGCGCACAACCAACTTATTACAAAGTTTCCTAAGTTAAGTGAGTCATCCAAATTATTAGTTGACATTTGAGAGGTCAACAGTGAAGTTTAAAGAAATACCGGGATGTCTCCTTTTGCGTCAATGTGGGACCAGTATTCAGCGTCTACATCAAAAGCCCAGACTGAAACATGACAATTATAATTTCAATTTCATACTAAGGTAAAAGCTATCACCCCATGAGCTGCAAAGTGGAGAAGTATTATTTACAAGTTGGAATGCAGGAAAGAATTTCAACCTGAGACCCTATCACATGACGGATCCATTTTTCCTCCAATCAGAAACACAGTCTTTCCCCAGGATACCTGCTCAAAGAAAAAACCACAATCATGTGTCACTCCAGCACAGATTCCACAATTAGGTTCTTAACAAAAAGTTGACACTTTCAAACACAATTTTCAAATTTCTTTCCGATAAGCGATTTGTCTTCATTGCACCTGAGAGTTTCACCATTTTTCAAAAATGAAATGTTCTTCTCTTGCATGGTACGCAAAGTAATTGTGTCCAGTTTTAGTAGTGGTGAAAGACGTGTACAGTGACAAAGGAACAATGACTAGCTCATTCTAGATATTAGAAGTTTTAACCTTATTTCCACAATTATAAATTTATAATAGTCAAGAAATACCATTCAGAATTTAGTAGCATATCATCAAAGCCGATAAAGAGGAAATTGCTGTGTTAGAATTTAGAGGAAATAAATGTGCTCAAAATTTAGCAGGAACTGGATACGCTCCACATCTTTCTAAGAAAGACAAAACCAGAATATTTCAGTTACAGAAATAAATTACCTGTTCAACCTCCTGATAAGTAATCCTATTTCATAAAAACAAGCTATCTTAAAAACACATTATGACATTTTTTATGGAAATCAGCAGAATATCACTGTTTCCTCATCAAAGGTATGCAATATCATGACTAAATTTAGTCATAGTATTTTCTTTCTCCATCAAAAGAAAACTAAGATATGATGCAAAAGCACTTGAAGATGGTCCCCATATCAATGTAAAATCACAAAAAATGTTGTAGCCGTGTCTAACATGATTTCATGCATCATATGGGTTTAGAAGTTTAGTCACGTATGAGGCCAGAATGGAGAAGCAAATTTTTTTAATAACTTGCAAGGGGGGCGGAAAATTAAGATGGAAATAATTAATGAAATATATATATTTTTTAAAAAAATCACAGTACATTCCCACAAGCCTTACACACCATTACTGCTATACCATATAACATGCAACAGGTTCAGCTCAGTAGGTGAACCCAACCGCCCTTTCTTTTGCTATTAACAATGAATTCTTCCATATATAACCTGCCTCTGTTTCTAGCTTCTTTAATATCATCAGTTTTCTTTAATTTTCATCATGGTTTAACCATGCACCGAGCTTATATGAACATCACTGCAATGCACATATAAATTTGCAAGACTATCTGACACTTCTAGGCCAATCTGTCCATACCAGACTATGGCCTTTGCATGGAGGAACCCTTGACATGACATCTGTTTGGGACAAGTAGACTTTTGAAGCTGTCTTTGCTGCTGCCCATGTGAGCTTGCTAAAATCCAAAACCTGAAAATTTATAAGCACATTATGAATTGAAATTTCAGAAACAATTTAAATCTGAAAAGAAAATAAGTAATAACATAATTTTCCAATCGACCACTAGATACATATCACAGGGATTAAACTGAAACATCTCAGTGATGCATATGTAGCTTTGAGAAAAGGAAGATACAAAGGTATATAACCACCTATAACATTTCGACATACAAATCAAAGGTAGGAAAGAACTTCTTGTACCTGTACATCATCCAATAATTTTCCTCCGCATTCCCCACCAATTACCAGCATTTTGCACCCAATCACAGTTGCTGCATGCTATTTAAAGAACCATTGATGATTTGCTGCTCTCCGTATAAAAAGGTTATATAATTATATAAAAATATTTATACATATTCTTTGATAAACAATGCGTACGTACATACATACATATATACATACAAGGTCACATGAAATTAAAGATCCCAAGAGAAGAACCTCAGATAGAATTGGACATCAGCCCTTACATTGGCGCGTGGTTCAGGTTTTTGCCCAAGGGTAGACAGCGGGATCCAATTCTCAGTGTTACCAGATCCACTATCACTAACATCATGACCAATAGATGAAGACTGGCTATTTGGAGCATCAGATCTCGCTTCTATGAGGTGATTACCAGTTGATACCACACCTTCTCCCTGCATCATATTTATAGAACTTTAGTACACTATGGGCATAAATATAAACATGATTTAAAGGATGCGAGTCTTACATTGGAATGGCTGTGGCGCTTAGGATGTCTTATCGGACTCCTTATTCCTTGCGCTGAATCTGTTAGCTGAACTTTGAGCCTGACAAGAGAAAGTAAGAAAGTGTAGATTATGCAATGCAAGCATTTGGTTCCATTATTTTGGAAAATGGAAAATATGTACCAGCAAGCAATATGTGGTGAAAGAAAGTATAATATGCATCATGGAGAAAGCAGAAAATCAACTATCATCATCAGAACCGTTTCCCAACTATTTGGGGTGGCTACACAAATCCTAGTCCACCATTTTGCTCCTTACCCTCTCCTTATATTTTCTCGCTACTTCCAACTAGGTCCTTTTGGGCCTATCCCGTACCCTTTTTGGTCCTTCCACTTGAACCAACTTGTACATCCTAACAAGTACCGTATTGGGTATGCACAACACATAGTCAGCCCACCTAAGTCTACCTTCTTTCATCTTATCGCTTATTGGAGCCACACATATGTTGTCCCGAATGTATTCATTTCAAATTCTATCTCTTCTTGTCTTGCTATTCATCCATCTCAGCTACACTCATCCTATGGGTATGTTGTTTCTTGACCGCCCAGCATTCTACCCTATAAAGTAAAGCTGGTCTCATAATTGTCTTATAGAACTTCCCCTTCAACTTCATTGGTATGCAGTGATCACATAAAACTCCAGTTGCAGATCTCCACTTTGCCCACCCAGCTCTAATTCTATGCACGATATCTTACTCAATATCTCCATTTTCGTGGATTATCTTAGTCCGGCTAATTACAAAATCTAATGAGGTATATTCAAGATTCATGAAAAGTTTTGGCAGAGTGTTACGTTGATTGCCTTCCTAACACAAACCACCTCCTCCACCAAGGCTTCAGACAGGTTATGGGAAAGTTTAAGGTCCTCTCCCTTCGTAGACCAAAAATAAATAAATAAAATCAACGAATTGTCTCCCATTACCTTTTATGGATTTACACATGTTATTCATGCATACATTGCACATTTTGAGTCTTAATCAAGCAAAGAATTTGGCAATTTGCTTTCATGACTTAATATAGAATGATTTGTCAGAAAAAACCAAGAACTTTCACGCTATGTGCATGACCTTAACAATCTCGTAGCTCCATAGTGTTGGGGTTTGTGGCCTTTAAAGGCCTGGGATTAGTTGACTGACCTAAGTTTAGGCAGTTTATGGCCTTGGTCATGTCCAATACCCTTTCCCCTACGCATATGGCACTATTGTAGAGGGTTTCAAGAAGGTCATTCCCATGATGATTTATAGGCCAAGAGAGCATCACGGTCTTCTGTGTGTAAATGTAGGCTTGTGAGAGCAACAACTCCTCAACAAACTTCTACAAAGCGCATACACATGACAGCAGCATACCAAGAAGCAACCCAGCAAAGCGACACATATATAGGTGCATAAAGAGAGTCCTCCATGCACTATAGTGATATGTGCATGTGACTTGCTCTTAAGAGAGGGGAACTTATAATCCACATTTCAAGATCGTTGTTTTACTATTCATTGGCCAGTTTTGACGAGCCAATCATGAGCCCCTGCATAAGACAGTGGATCATGGTTCTCGTTAGGCTGGCTTGAGAAGATAGTCGAGGACCACAGTTATTGGGTCATATGGAGTGCCCAAACATTTCTCGACCCATTGGTACCAATTCACTTCTAGAAATTTAGGTTTCATCTTAAGAAATGATTTTGTGATTTTTATAAACTTTTCATAAATTTTTAGAATTATTTTCAACAACAAAAAACCATAAAAGGTTGTTTTTGTAAATTTTTAAAATTCGAAGGGCATTGTAGGACCCAAATAGGAGGCCAAGGGGCCAGTCCCACATGTTAGGGGCCCCATATGGGTGTGGGACATGGGGCCCACATGTCCTAGCATAGTGAGGATGCCCACGCCTTTCATTTTTATTAAGGATTAAGTTAGGTCATTTAATAAAAATGTTTTATTAAAGAAAGGAAGCCTATTAAATCTTTCAAAATATTTTATGGGAGTAGAGAACATTTTATGTTTTGAAAATATTTTGTCAAGCTTTTTTTTTTTTATCAAAATCTTTTGACTTTGAATTTCTACATACTTTTGCGAGAGAAAAGGAATTCTAGTCAAAATAGAATGTGTTTTTTATTGGTCTTATCCTAGGTTATCATGTGGATCAAAGATTCATAGGATAAGGTTCCCAAGTTCCTCCCTAAATCATGATAGCCGATTCATGGGATAGATGGCTCAAATTTGTTTATATATCGCCTCACAGATTACCTAGGAGTCCTATGGCCAATATGAATTCCAAATCAAATAGGGATACCTAGACCCACATGAAGGCTACAAATAGAGGGTAGACCCCCTTCATTCTCACCATCTAAACTTCTAGCCTCTCTCCTTCTCTCTCCTCCATGCCCCTCTCTACCTTTCTCTCTCCTCTCTTATCCCAAAAGCAGTGGAACACACCACCCTAAGAGTTTGGAGTGGCACACCACCCACGGGGTTCATAAAAGGGACACACCCAGCCCATTTTAAAAAGGGAGGTGCCACAAAGGTGGCATGCCATGAGAGTCTAATTTGTTTTATGCTCTCAAATTCCCTAGATTTGAAAAAGGTATTGCTAGGAGCTTCCCGACCAAGAGAATTCAGTAAAGCCAATAGGATCAAGAGTGCATCATCGATCAGGTAATCGGGTGTGGGGGTGAGCCTAGGCGAAGTCAATTAAGTCTTCCGGACTATACTAAGTTTATTAGTCATTATTGTTCAAATTATTGCAATTCCCAGGAACATTATTTCTATTAGAATTCATTGTTAAAGCCTGTATTCAGCCTTTAAATTGAGTCATATTTATCTGACAGTAAAAAGAGAATATCCTAGGTTGTATTTAAGGCTTTTACTTCTTGTTTACAACATTGTTTCGTGGCACTTGTATTCAAATATATTAAGAAAAGAAAACAATAAATTTTTTGTTTTACTCTCTGGAATTCAACATTTTATTCTTTGGAATTCAACATAGGTACTACTTTCACATAGTAATTGTTAAAATGAGAGAAATCCCATGGCTTGATCATACAATCCCTTTGCAAAATTGGCAATTCATTTTCTTAAAAGTGTTGATGTTCCCTGGTTGGTAGTTGTATATTCTGCGGTCAGGTTTTGCATCGAATCATCTGGATTCCTCACTTCATGTATATTCAAATGAAATTGTAATGGTTGTTGAGTATCCATGAGAATTATGATGGCTGGTAGAAGTTTTGCATGCTCATGGAGGGTATATAGACACTAATCAAAGTTATACATAAAGTTAGGTATGCATCAAGCTATCATGGATTGATTACTAGGTACTAAGCATGCACTTAAGGTTACTTAACAAAATAATTCAATCTCCATTGCTGATTGCAAGTTCAGATATCTTTCTCATATTTGGCATCTTTTCTTCCATGGCCAGTGGGGGATTGAGTGGGTATTAGGGTCAAAAGTTCAAAAATTCAAACTCAGTGGCTAACTTGGTCACCGCCAAAACCAACTCAACTGGCTGATTCAAAAAGTAGACTTAGAAAATTGGCGAGTTTTACAAATTTTTGAGTAAAAACAAAAGCTATATAGATATCATGATCCATATGGCCATAGTAACAACTATGACCATCTAGGTTATCCCCATCTATTTAGTTTATTGGTTGGTGGTCAACAGAAAGTAGGAGTTTTGATTGTACGGTGAAACCAACTCCCCACCGTCATTGTACAGCCCATTTATGGACTGGTTATTAACTCATGGTCATGGGATTATGATAACCATTTTCATCATTTTGGATCCACAAAGTGAAACCCAGCAGGTCAGGTCCGGTCTGGGACAGGTTGAGGTTGACTGCCTAGGACCCAATCCAAAATAAAAAAATATATATATAATACGCTATATATATATATATATATATATATATATATATATATACTACGTCGACGTACGTACCGTCGGACGACGGACACGTCGTCGACACACTACTATACTAATACTACCAACCTGTACTAC